CTGCTGCAGGAAGTGTGAGGTTGTGTTTCTAGGCAGGGCTGGATCAGCACAGTAGGAAAAACCTGTCTCCCATGCTTAACGACCAAGTTTCCACGGCTTCAAAGCACAGATACAGTGGTTGAGTTCCTACAGCAATGTTAATGCATGTTTTTCCCTTCTCTGTCTTTCAGGGATCTAAACTACAATGAGCTGCTGGAGTTCCCTGGGGCTATCAGGACACTGGGCCGACTGCAGGAGCTGTGAGATTTTCTAATTTTTCCTTTTCAAAACCATTCCCAATGAAGAGTGACCAATAAAGCATCATGTGCGCTCTGGCTTGAGTAGAGCACTTGGTCCAAGCCTTTCTCTTCCCTCCCAGCCCTCTCCTCCATGCACATCAAAGCAGTTTGTCCCCTTGATTTCCATCAGCTCTGATCACCTCCCCACCAGCCTCCACACTGTTGTTGTTGGAGGGGAGTGGGAGATCTCCATCAGCCTTGGAGCAAGTTCTTGCTGCAGCTCTTCATGCTCCTGTGGCATCTGAGAGACTCATAGTCCATCTGTTCTTCTGTTCTCTGGATACTTCTGATGTCCATTCCCCAGCTTGGGACCACAAACTGGAGTTATCCACATTATTGTGAGCCACAGCTTCTGCAGGCTCTGTGCCACCTCCTCTGACGTGCAGAAACTGTTTGATCTCCCTGAGGACAAATTTTTAATAGGGAATTACAAAAGCTCCTGACCTTTTTAGTGCATAGCTCTCCCTGCTCTAACTGCTCAGCCTGGGAGACACTTGAAATGGGAAACCATCCCACTACAGACCCATGAAGGTAGAAGTCCCATGGTGGAGTCAAGTTGAATTGATATGGATCCACAGTTCCTGTGGACTCTCAGACTGTGTCACACTGGTGCCAGGCTGGGGTGAGACAGAAGCAGCTTTTTCTTTTACTGAAAGAATTCTGATGAGATTCCTCTGTTCAGCCCAGATATCATCATTATTCTCACCTTCAAAATGAGAATAAGGTCCTTAATCCACTCTGAGCTGGCTTTTGGAATGCCCATCCCTAAAGAAGAGGCAAATTTCAAACAGTCATTAATTAATCACTCAGACTCCTCTGGGATTAAAAAACCTGGACATCACCCAGAGCCTGGTTTTAGTCCTGGACACAGGACTGTGGCTGCCGTTGGTCAGACTGTGGCCACAGAGCTCTTCTGCTGCAAAAGTTTGCTGATAGCAATTTTCTCGAGCTTAACCAAAAATATCTCAACCAGAACTACAAACCCTTTAGAGTCACAGGAGCCAATAGTTCCTGGTGTGCTGCACTCTGGTTGGAAGCTGTGGAGCTGTAACGGAGACATCTGTAAAAATTGTGATTCCTAGAGGGCAGAAAATTTTGTATTGGGTTTTCTCCTGTTTCCTGACCTGCAAAGAGTTAAACCTTAAGCCCTTTGTATCCTCAGTGGCTTCAGTGCAGTCATATATGGAGCACTGAGCTATACACAGGGTAAATGCAGCAGAACGAGGGCTTTGTCCTGCCAAAACACAGCCCTTGTTCACCTGCTGCATGATGCTACAGTGGAATATGTATATTCTGAAGGCCCTCTATCTTCAGAAGTGTTGAGGAAAGAAGGTGTCTCCAAGCATTTCTTATCCATTAATGTGAAGCTATTTGTTTCTCCCAACAGTGGTTTTCATAACAACAACATCAAAGCTATTCCAGAGAACGCGTTTGTTGGGAATCCCCTGCTCCAAACAATGTAAGAAAATCAAACAATGCCTCCTAAATCCTTATATTCCCCAGAAAGGGACGTTTCCTGATGTCTTTGGTTGGGGTTTCTGACAGTGGTCAGCATGGACACAATCTGGTATTGGTTATCCATGGGCCAGTGCAAGCTGAAATAGCTCCTTCCTGTCTACAGCTTGGGTTTGTGCTGTGGGTTCTCCTTTCCCTGCAGCTGAACTTTGCTGCAGCACAGGCTGATAGCAATGAAGGAACAAAATATGGGTGGTCTGCATGGAAATCTTGCTGTGCATAACAGCACATTCTGAGCCCTGGTTGACATCTGCCAGTGTTTATCCCTCGTGTTTGGCAAAGCTGCTGGCCAGCCTCAGCAGCAGCTCCATGTGTCAGGGGGCTGGGACACCACGTCACTGTATGTCTGCCCCAGAGCCATGGACACAAAGTCCTGCAGATAAGTACACCCTGGGGGCAGCTCATTTCCCCTCTGATACAGACATAGGTAGTGATTTTTGGACAGTTCTTCCACACAGATATTGGAAATCATGCCAAGATATCCCAGGGAGAATGTGGAGTGTCCCTTACCAGAGATAGTCAGGATGCAATTCTGTGCCATGTGCTCTGGGATGACCCTCCTTGAGCAGGGAGCTTGGTCCAGCTGACGCACTGTGATCTCTTCCAACCCCACCCATTCTGTGATTCTGTGAAAAAAGTTCTGCTTGTCAAGTCTGGACTTCAGTTATAGAAATACCAACATCTGGAAAGCCGTGGTAACACTGGGTGAAAACATTCATTGCTCCAGTCAAGACAAACCTAGGGCACCATCCCTGGAGTGACATGGCAGTGGCACACATCCAGAATATTCACCTCTCCATTGGATCTGCCCATCTAAAGTCTTTCACAGCAGTGGGGGGAAGTGCTTCTTGTAGGAGGTGACTCAACTCCCCCCAAAGCTAGTTGTGCCCTTAAAGAGCTCACTTCTCTCCACTGACTGTGACAAGTAGGAAAACGCTGTGGGTATGTAAGGTCAGAGGAGGTGTCCTCCAGTGTGAGGTGTTTCCCAGCAGGGTCACAGCACCATAGCAGGGTTGAAGGAGGGCTTT